ATGGCAAAATAACGTTTGCCGGGTCAGCTAGTATTTTATAATTCTTGTTAGGTAAAATGTACCTCCTAGTAAGTGTAGTGAAAGACAGATTCCAGAATGTATTAAATCTATAAATTTTATAATTATAATACTTTGCACACATTCTAATCTTTCTGACAAAATTATTGATGCAATAACTACTGAAACAGATACTGGATCAGAAAATTCAAGTTGTTTCACGGACATTGCTCCAGAAGTTATCTAGAATAAGTTATTCAATTTATAAAGATGAAATCTATAATAGTGCATAAATTCAGAGAAAGAAAGGTATGCTTAAAATAATAAGTAAATTTAAAAATGCCCGTTACTAGAAAATATGTATGGCACTGTAACAGCCCACCCCCCTGTAAACCATTTTATCGTTGTTTTTAACGTCAGAAATCTTATTATATTTACCTCTTAATTTTGTTTTACTTTAAATTCTATACTTACTGTATTTGGCCTTTTTCGTCTAGTTAGTTAATTGATAATTTATATACATACGTTGTGATAATATTAATTAATGTATACCAGGATTCGATGCAAAGTTTGGTGCAAATTAATAAATAAAACCTTACAAATTTATATTTGAACTCTTTTATTTTTCATACTTTAATGTATTGCAATAATTAGCAAAGTATATTACAATTAATTTGTACTATTTACTGAGATCTCACTTGAGTCCCGTTCAAAGGCAGACCACGTTTACTTGCTATCAAGATATATTTTATTTAGGTTGATGACCAACGGAGTTAACAAACAGCGTCAATTCGTCAGTTGGTTAACTACTGTGTTGATGTTTATATTCTTATTTAGCCTAAAGACCAACGGAGTTTTCGAACAGTGTCAATTCGCCAGTTGTGGTTAACGACTGTGTTGATGTTTATATTTTTATTTAGCTTGATTATATTCTAGATATACACAGGTTGAGCCCTCTTAGGTAATTTAAATATATGTAGCTCATACACAACTTCAGTTCTTATGGAAGTTCTATATATTTCTTTAAAAATAGACTCTACACTGACCAATTTTATCCTTTTTTATTTAGGTATAATTATCAATTTTGATATTTTATTATTATTTTTTTTTTATTTTATATTGGATTTTTATATTTAATTGTTATTTTGTGTTTTTAAATTATTATAGCATTTGCGTTAATTGTGTGTTTGTTTATACATTCTTGGATAAAGCTTTGAGTCTTATAACATTTTAGACAAATTTATGTGTTTTAGATGTATCATTGTATTTAGATAAGATAGTAGAACAACCTTATGGACGTTTCATTGGAGGCAATTCTGTCGCGACATCTGTTAGAACAAGTACATAACTTCATCAAATTGGCCTGCGCGCTAGCGTTTCCTTGATCATTGATTATAGAATTTTATATACATAAAGTTTTCTTAATTTTCAAATTTATTTGGGTAGATTGTCAAGTTTAAATTAATATTGTTTATATTCTCTAAAATGATGATACATCGTAAATAAATGTTCATCAAGCATAATTAAACTCGTACATATCATTTTTAAAACAAATATTCTGGATTGATTATCGATCCATCTATTAGTTCTTTATTCAGCGTTTCCATTGCAACAGTTTCTCCGTTTGCCCAAGAGACCAAATAATTGGGTGTCATCTTTGACCTTTGACCACAGGTTCACATGGAATCAACATTTGTAAAAAGTCACCCAAAAAAGCTCAACATCCTTTAACTTATGTCAAAGGCTGTGTAGAAAAATTAAGCACTACATGGTTGGTTGTAGTGGTGTCGATATAAGGGGATGTAATGAGTAACTGCGATTCAATTTTATAAAAACAAGTTTTTTTTTGACTTATAAATTAAGTAAACAAAAAAGTTATAAAATAATAAAAAAGAGTGAACTAAATTAAAAGTAAGAGAGTTTACGCAAAAAAAAACAAAACTTTGAACGTAACTGTTAGATTTTAAATTTTAAAATTAAAATTAATCCTTCTAGTTTGCATACTTGTATAAATACCACGAACGAGATGCGTTTGAGAGACTGCATCAGTCACCAGTGAAAACAGCGGCCTGTAGAAGTACAAACACGGAATCACGGCCGGAAAGGTCGCTGACGTCGGCTCGCCCCACCAAGCGTTCAAGTAGCAATGAAAAACATCGCATCTCGCATCATAGCGCTGTCGAAATATTTCTAATTGTAGCATAGAAATGTATTCTATAAAGCACAATAAAATATAAATATTTGAAATTGAATTTAATTATTTGAATAAATTCACTGAGTTTCAGTTTATTATAAGAGATCTTTATTGCTTTTCTTTAAAATAAAAAAAATAGCTGAAAATATTTTGAAGGGATGCGACGCATCACCCGCATCAATGAAAGCTTCGCTACTGCAACCACTTATGATAACTTACGGATCGGTGCTATGGTGGCCAAAGGCTCGTCAAGCTGGAGCCATTCAACAGCTCAACGATATTCAAAGGCAAGCATACTTGAAAACCACGGAAATTATGAGAATGACTCCAACAGCAGCCCTAGAAGTAATGTTAAATCTAACACCACTACATGTATTTATTTAAGGCAAAGCCAGGTCTGTCACATACATACCACACAAAGGTCCGTCCCTACAAGCAGTTTGTATGGACGTGACTACAGCGAGCCATATAAAGAGTTGAAAAACGACGAAATAATGGGAATTCCGTCAAACGAAATGCTCAAAATATAGCTTTAAAAAGCAATATAAAGTAAGCATACCAAACCAGGAAGCGTGGACAAGAGGACCTCATGTTCATGCAGAATTTACCTGGTATACAGATGGCTCCAAGACCCATGAAGGTTCATGAGTTTATATAGTACCAAGTCAAAGAAAAGAACCTCATTGAGCCTAGGTAATTATGCGACAGTATTCCAGGTAAAAATAACAGCAATACATCACTGCGCAAAAGAGGTATTAAGACAAAGGGAAAATGGAAACACCATTGCCATATACTCAGACAGTCAAGCAAAGTTAAAAGCACTCAGTTCCATGCAGGTACGTACACTCAATGATTGTGTGGGACTGTTTGGAAGCCCTAGCAGAGCCGGGTAGTAAAAACAAACTAATCTTAGCCTGGGCACCAGGCCACAAAGGGCATAAGGGATCGAAAAGAATGATTTACTATCCCAAGAAGGAGCCTCATAGGCCCTTACTGGCCCAGAACTCTTCTGTGATGTCACAAAGACAGCTATCAGTACATATACAAAGCAGTGGATGTTTAAAAAATTTCAGAAATGGTGAAAAATTCACCTGAACAAAAACAAATCAAAGAGTTCTTAAAAGGACCATTGTCAAAACTCACCGAGCAATTAGCTATAATAGGAAAAATACTAAAGTACTAGTAAGCCTAATAACAGGACATTGTAGACTTAACATCGGCCTGGCCGAAGAAACCTTGTGTCGACTCTGCGTGGAACAGGAGGAAACTGCAGTACATGGATTGCGCTACTGTTAAGATTTATCAAGACAGATTCCTTACACTTGAAGAAGAAAAACCAAGGGTAAGTAGCTACACTGAAGAACTACTTCCTAGTCTATGGAGTCTACTTCAAAAGACCAAACTAGACAAGGTGCTCTAATCAACGTTTAAAGGATATCCACAATAAATCTGAATAGCTCGAGGTGGGGGTCACAGCCCACAGTCCTAATGAAATCTAATCTAATTTTATCCAAGAAGAGGATACAAGTAGTTCTCTTCTAGGAAGTGATACCTGGATCATTATCATAGATTTACAAAAAGTATATTCACTCTGAAAATTGACACATCGTAGTATGTATTACAGCCGCCAATCGTCATGTTTTAATTTTCGAATGCATGTGCAAGTATGCAAGATACATCAGATGTGATAATGTGCATCTGGCATGACAATTAGGCAGGGGTGGTAACCAAATGGCATTATGTATTTAACTGGTTAGTTTTAACTTATAAGCGAAATCTAAGTATAAGAGCGATAACGGTGCAGGGCATTTGAAAAACTGAGGGTTTATTTTTTTAAGTACATTTTCTTAGTAGTTAATGAACATTTTGACACCATCGATCATATATTTTGTTTCTGGTCATAATTTTTCGTTTGGCTGAGATTTTGCTCTAGAAACGAGCAGAACGTTCCAAGCTTTAGAGAGTAAATGAAGTAAAACGGTAATTCTTGCTCCTAGACATTCCAGGCCAAATAAATTGTTAGATATGGGTGAATGTGCTCTTTTGAATTTGATCATCAAAACCATAGACACATCTAAACTTGGTGTTATTCATGCATCGTAGTTACGTGTGACTAAAGAAAAATCAGAAATAGTATTTGTATAAGAAAAATGTCAGTGACCTAATAGAGGGTATGACGTATGACTGTCTAAAATTCAAAGTTGAAAGAGCTTTTAGACATGGAAATAAATGAAGCAAGAAAACTGCAAGTTTCTTCTGTGTATTAACATTGAAAATGTCTTTTATAGTTTCAATAATGTACCTACGTTTTGTTTTATTTTTGATATTAATCAGTTTTCTTTGATTTCTGTCAATTTTCAATTGTGCCACTTAAGATCACTTAGCTTGATTACTCTTCAATTATTAAAAAGAATCATTTAATCATTTATTTTTTATTTTGAAGAAAATCGTATACAAATATAGCACTACAAAATAAAGTAAAAAATAAGATTTTTTATAACTTTTAGAATTCCAATTCTGTAATTACCATATTTTATACTAACTAAATTTACTTAACAATTAATATCACAAAAATGTAAGAGACAAATAAACAATAAAAATTTAAATGTAACGCTAAAACGCGTCTGCATTTTAATGGGAACTTCACAATTTAATTGATATTAACAAATACATTTTAAAATTTGTATTAATTTCTGTGATACGTATCATATTAACTTTATAAAATTAATTATAAATTTAAAATTTATAATACATTATATATTTATTTAATGCATTACTTAGTTTTATTTTTATAAAATTAAAAATTGCGATGTTCCTCTTAACAGCATAATTACAATACATTATCATGGTATCACGAAAAATAAATAAAACTATATTACTAAAATGCACCATAAGAATTCACTAAATTAAATATTGTTTTTTAACGTTTTGTAATAATTGAGGTGTTTTTGAATTGCTTAAATATTTCACATTTTTAGGAACTATTTACAACTTTGTTCGTTCTGAAACAAATTATTACAATAAAATTGTATTATATAAAACATATTAATTAATTATACTAAATAATTGTAATATTTGCAACAAAGTTATTACAATAAAAATGTTTCCCCAGCTTATATTATTTCCACAATCTCAAACTTATATATTCTAAAGTTTAAACAAAATTTACAGCAATTCTTTAAAAATATAATAAGGCCTCAATGATCCTATAGAATAAAATTATTATTTCTTGAGATCTAGATTTTTTGCAATAATCTGGCTCGATATTTTGAGTTTGTGACTGATTTTGAAAAGCTTTCTAAATTTTGCTTAAAAATTAAACTTTTTTAATTAAAATAATTGTAATGTCTAAAAACAGTTTTTCTAAATCGATTTTCTTTATCAAACAATAATATTAAATTAGTATATCTTAGAGAATATAATAATAAAATATTCTCGACAATATTCGTATCACTTTCTAGGTTAAAGTTTTTGATTTGGAACTCCTTAAAACTTCGCTCGATAATAAAAAATCGGTTTAGAAATAAAACTTTGTTTTTTTGTTAAATTGACGAGTGATCCAAAGTATGATGGACTCAAATTATGTCAAATTTGACAATTCGACTAATTATAGATGACATTCCATCTTTCGGTTAATTTATTGTTTTTAGGTGGCATTAATATTTCGAAAAATTACCAGATAAATTAAATGTTGCAATCTTGTTGGACCACCCGTTATAAAATATATCTATACAGTATTTAGTTGTCAACAAAATAACGATTGAAAAAATAACCACCACAATTGTAACCAGATTCTCCTAATTATATTAAAGGTATCTATAAATCTCAAGTTACGTGGCAATGTCCAAAAATATCTAGGTCGAACAGAAAAAAAATAACCGGAACCAGGGACTCTGTCAAAACTATCCTGTTTCTACTTAGACTATAGAACTGTATTATGATGATACTATTCCAGCTTTAGTATCGCATCAAATAATTTTAACCATAACTGATACAAGTAATTTGTTGGAACATAATATTTAAAAAACGGTAAATACAAAAATTGAAATTTGAAAACTTACTATTTCCAATTTTATATGATCATCTTTTTATGACTAAAGTAAGTGGTAAAATAGGCAAGATTGCTTTTTGTACCTCTTAACCATAAAGATAAATTATCAAATGATTCTATAAATTGATTTTAACAAATGCACTGGTTAATTATGATTTAATGTTTGAGATTACACAAAAATACGTCAGTGCCACTGGCTCAGTTGACATGAAATATTTTTTCAAAATTGAAATCAGATCTATCTGTGATGTATACTATATAAATTATATACAAAATTCATCCTGTATCCAAGAAACTACTATTTTACCTATTTGTGGGTTTCTAGTACGAGATTACAGGATGGTGACCATGTATTTCCTAACTCTATTAAACAAAACTTATTGTCCTCACCTTTCAATTACACTTTTACGAGCTAGTGAGTTTTTGTAATAACAAATGCAATTTAAAAAGAAAGCTTCATTTAAATGATATAAAAACATTTTCATTCCGTTAATCTTGAAACAGTCAATCTTAGAACATAAAATTATTGACTCTAAGTCGCCATTTTGATTAATCTTTTCCATCACTTTTATCAAATCTAAGTGTGTCCATCTGTCATATCGCTAACTAGTGTTTATATTGTCCCTACTTCATTCTATCTCGATGAACAAACTCAGTATAATAATATAAAAGGTTAATTATAATAAAACTATTCAAACTGTTTCTATTATTTCTTTCAGACCCTTGGTCCGGTAACTTTTGGTCCCTACTAGGCACGTATATCTATATTTTTCATGAAAGTAAAAACACTTTTAGCAAGATAACAAAAACTGTCTACTATACATATCGTAATAGAGAAAATACCTCAAAGACAAATTAGATACATTCAATCTATCAACAAAAATATTTCAACTTTAAAATGGGATTAAAACATAACTTAACCCTGCATATTTCATATCACTGGCAGTTTGGTCGAGATATGTTCTTTACATTTCTCACTGAATGAGAAGTATAAATACAGAAAGTCTAATCAAATATCACTTTAATCGTAATCATGCTCTATATCCCTAGACAAAGGCACCATGCTGTCTATGTACACTTCGAAATCCTTTGCACTTATGCTAGCTTTCTTCTGAGGCAAATAACTCATTTTTCTACCGATGTTATGAACCAATTCGTCCTCTATCCACGGATCTTGGAAGTTTATAGCTTTATTTTTTGTTATTCTGACAAATTTATAAAGAGATACCAAGAAGAAGAGAACACCACCAGCTAGGAAGATGATCATCAGACATTTTTCCATCAGAGGAAGAATGTTTAGGTAGAGTCTAAAGCGAACTCCCAGATATTCTGGCAGTTTGTCCATTCTCTGAAATAAAAAATAATTGAAGGTTAAAGTTGTCTTTACGAAGAAAAATAATAAAAATTTAAAGATATGGAAGGAGAAACAAAATATTTATCGTATGTACTCAAATCCGGAATAGTGAGGCCTCTCACGGTTTCGATAGGTGACCAAACCCAAACTCGTAGAGCTCGGAATCCATAGGAGTAAATTCCAAACTCTATTTTGAAAAAGGTTTTCATATTTATCATGATAAAAATAGTATTTTTAACATTGTTTATTTTTTCTGTTGTTTTGAATTCCAAAATATTTTTTATTTTTCGATTTCTTTTAACAGTAACTCTTCTTCTTTACTAAAATTGTAAGACAGCTTTTTTTTCTACATTATTCAATATGATTTTAACACTACAACAAAGAACAAGAACTAAAAAAAATATTTCAAAATATTGAAACAATTTTAAATAAATTTCCAAATACAACTTAACGGAAACATAGTCTTTAAATAACTGATCTAAACTTTTATTTTTCACAGATAATAATAATATAATAATAATACTCTCCCTAATTCACCCCCTTACGAGTGAATTTTAACCCCAAAAGCAGAGCTGGTGCGGGGAAAGAGACGGCTATTATTATTATTTTCCGTGGCGCTCCGGGGCGACTTAAAGATGATTGATGGTGCCATTTGACTTACAGATGAGGAAAACCCAGAAAACCTCACCCACCATTATCGAAAACGAAAAACGTATGGCAATTTTTAATAATCTGGATGTCATATCAACAGAAATTAAATTTCTGCTAATACGGTATCCATCAAATGCTATAGAGAACCATGCAAATAAATTCACATAATCTTCTGTAGGATTCGAAACCGTGTCTAGTTTTACAAGAAAATTGGCTCGCAAATGAATGCCGCGCCGTAGACACTACGGTACCGTAGAGAAACCCTTTTTCACCATAGGACACATTGACACATATAATTTCGGAAATTCCAAACTAAAATTTAAAATAGATTAAACGCAATGAGTCTTAATTAGATATAGTTACTCTAAGGTTTATTCTTTCAATAAAAGTGTTCTTAGAATAGTTAATAAGATTAATAAATTAAATTTCAAGTCATTCACTGAGGAAAACGCTTCAGTAAGAAAGTGTTACTACTAAAAAGTTTACTATGGCTGTAAAACTTTTTACTGCTACTGCTAGATTGTCTAACAACAACTGTTAGATGTGTTACTAGGACTGTAAACTAAGTTTTACAGTCCAAATTCTTACCGTGGCAGTAATATTTTTTTACTACTCCAGTTAGAAATAGAATTACTATTATTCGTATTACCATCATAGTAAACCTTTCTTACTGAATCAGTAATTTGTATTACTACCGCAGTTAGACCTTTACTAGTAACATTTTTATTACTACCACCGTAAAACTAGCATACTGAATCTGCAAAATAGTAATATTTTTCTAACAACCACGGTAAGACAGGTTAACAACAAATGTACGGAACCGTTACGATTAATGACGAAGAGCTTCGATCATATCCTTTTGCACAGGCGTTGACTTGAGTCGACGATAATCACAGAAGCAGTCAACACGTTCAATCGTCGCATCGTGAGCTTAGGTCATAGCGTGCATGAAGAAGTGCGAAGTGCTGCGTAATTTCTATCTGGGGGTATAAATGGTATAATATTGAATATGGAATATTGTGCATTGTTATCGGAGTGGGGGTTTTCGGACCTAGATCATAGTTTCGTTGGTAAGTAATTCGAAATAATATACTTATCTAAATATAGTACCTGTATCCATTTTTATTTATACACTAGTAAAAAAGGCAGGAAATGCATAATGCATGAATGTTTTTATTTCGAATTGAGGATGAGCTATACGGTCTAGAAATGTTTTAACTGCACCGGAGCATATTCGCAGTATCAAAAATGTAATATTTCCAAGAGAAAGTTTTTAGATTAAAATTTATTAAAAATGTTTGGTTAAGATTCACAGAGCAATAAATTTGTTAGATTTAAAAGAAAGCTGTGTTCAATGAGACATAGCGATAGCGATACCAATCGTATCGATCCATATCATTTTCGAGCGTTTCATTTCTACTCTAGTCTCTAACTTTCTGCTGCGATCGCGTAATTTGAGCGGGAAAGCTCATAAAAACAACCTAAAACTCTTAAAACCTATTGCTATTTGAGATTACTTAAAAAATATATCTTGAACAACCTGGTTATGCTTTATATAGTGATAAAAATCATAAAAAAAAAACCTTAAACATAAAAATATTGTAGATTGTTGATCAAAACACTTAAGTGACAATAAACAAGTTCACTTTCAGTTGCAAATACTACGTTTCATTAAACTTAAATTGTCGTTCCACACAAATTTAATTTTTATTTTTAGATGAGGGCATTGATGATAATTTCTTTCAATTATTAGATGAAGAAAGCATAAGGCATCTTATTTTAAGAAAAAATTCGAGGAATTTTGTATGACCAAAGAAAATACCATGGTAAAATTGATATTGTTTTATTATCCAAATTTGACATTTATATCTCGAATGGTTTTCGAGTAAACTTCCGTTCCTGCAGCTTTGGATTAAAAATACACCCTACCCTGTAAATGTTTTTTTTTGTACCTTATAAAAATTATAAAAACATATCATGTAAAATAAATATTTATAGTTTAAAATATAAAACATTTTGAATCCAAAACCTTACATTTCATACAAAAATTCACATTTTCGTGGCTAATAATCCAGTAAATGTTTGAATTATACATGGATCAGCAATACCAACATTGTAAAATGTTGTTAATGCACATTTGAGTGAAAGTATGTTAGAAAAACCACTATAAAATGACTTTTTATAAAAGAGACTTTAAAGTGAATCTGAGATCATAGCTCCCTTTGTGTAAATCCTCCTTTAGGGTTCGATTATGAATTTTTTTAGTAATGGATGGCATCAGACATGCAAGTATATTTACCACAAAAAGTTTTAAACTTAATTATGTTAAATATCTATTTTAGTATTTTGAGTAAATCGTCAAAAATTATCTTATCTGATTGAACTAAAAGTGAATTGGCCTTAGATCCATAAATATGATAAATATCTTGTTTTCAATATTATTATATTGCTTTGTTAAACTAAAATTGATACCACATATAATTGATTGTTTTAGTAACAAAAATTCCATGTATAAACAAAAATAATAATGAATGACCATAGTAGCTATGCATATACAGGGTGGCGCATCGAAAACGAAACAGAGACATTTACAGGCAGCTCAGTTCTTTTTTGAAAAAACACTCAGACCCGCTGATTTTGTTTTCGAGGGGGACACAAAATTGGCAAAAAATCACGTTAATACATGCAGCCCCCCTAGGGGGGTGGCACTATCCCTAAAATCTTAAATGGAAAGGTGGATCGAATGATTCATCATTTGAAAGGTCTTTCAATTCCCTTTATAATCATGTACTTCTCAGTAGTTTTGGAGATTTATTGAGTTAAAGTTTAAAGTAAACTTTAATACATCATTAGTGAAGATCAATACATTTAGCAGCAAAGTAGTTTAAAAACGAAGAATAAACTGACCCGTCAGTCAAGTAAATGTTGGAAATGATCACCATGACTCTCCATGCAGTAATAAAGATTTTGCGGAAAACCTTACCGCACATTTTGCAAAATTTGAGGAGAAATTTGAAGGCACTCATTCGCAATTCTATGTCGAAAATCTTCTAACGATGTTGGCGGAGTAGCATAGATTTTACTTTTTAAGTGACCCCACAGAAAGAAATTCAAAGGTGATAAATCTGGCGATCTTGGGGGCCATTCAATGGCACCTCTTCTACCAATCCATCGACCTGGAAACGTCTGTTCTAAATATTGTCGAACACGTAATGCGTAATGTGTTCGAACATCAACCTATTCACAATGTACCGCCGATCATTCTAATTTTAAATTATGGCTGTTAGTGCAGGATCTATTGCATCTTGCTGTAATTCCAACTACATTTCACCTGTCAAATTTCTAGGTGAGAAAAGAAGACCAACTAAATGATCGCCAATAATACCAGCCCAAACATTTAATTTTTGTGGCTGCTGGGTGTGTACCTAATAATAAATTCTGGGATTAGAATCAGACCAATATCGGCAGTTATGACGATTTACTACGCCATTTAGAAAAAGGAATATTCGTCGGAAAAGCAAGTGTTGAATAGAAATGACTCATCATTTATAATTCGTTCACTCATATCTTCACAAAACTGTAATCACCGATCAAAATCGTCTTCATTAAGTTCTTGTACAAGGTGAATTTTATACGGATAAAAACTATAGACCTTTAGATTCCGTTGAATACTACGTCGACTAACACCACACACAGTATGCAATTTGCGAGTACTTAACGTAGAATCTACATAAACTTGCCCTTAAACCCCCACTTCTATTGCTTCATCCCTTATGGGATTTTCAATGTTGCTTTTTTTATTGCCGACTGATCCAGTTTCCCGAAATTTAGCTACAAGTTCTAGAACATATTTTCGATGCACGTTACAGTTCTTATGTCGCTCATTAAATATTTGTGCTGTTCTATTAGCGCACTGATCATTTCCGAAAAATATTTCGATAATTTCAACCCTTTCTGTCGTGGAATATACCATGGTTAATTTATGTATAAAGCGTTAAAAGGTATTTTAACAACAAAGTTTGGTTTCCCTTCTTATCTTTCTTCAGGAAACAACTTTTTTGCCACAAAAAACGCTCCAATCGCCATTTTCAACACCAAAATGATCAACAAACCGTGGGCGTAGTAAAGAAAAGCATTTACTTATTAAGTAAATGCATTTACTCAAATTTCTTCTGAAAGTAGCACAAAATAATATGATGTACCTATTAAAGTCTACTTTAAGCTTTAAATCAATAAATCTCCAAAACTACTGCACTGAAGTACATGAATTTTACATCATTATAAAAGGAATTAAAAGATCTTTCAAATGATTAATAATTCGACCTCCCTGTCAATTTAAGATTTTAGGAATGGTGCCACCCCCATCTAGGGGACTGCACGTGTAAACGTGATTTTTTGCCAATTTTGTGTCTTCCTCGAACACAAAATCGACAGGTCTGAGCGTTTATTCAAAAAAGAACTGAGCTGCCAGTAAATGTCTCTATTTCGTTTTCGATGCGCCATCCTGTATATTATGGTAGAATTAAATGTCATATGAAATTAAATGATAGTATCAACTAAAAATTAGTTAGGAAAAAATTGATATCTTCTTTTCCTCCCGGACCAATTTTTTAAAATCGCTTCACGTAAGTGATGATGATTTGTTTTTCTAATTAATTTTTGCAATTTACCGGAAATTCAGACCTTTTCTCGAAATCCCAAGTTAGACGATTAACAACCTGAGGCATGTAGGCTTAGGTCAAGGTAACTACTCGTATCTAATCAAATGAGTGGCCATAGATAAAATAATATTAAAAGATGAACCGTTTAAATGCACGGCACTGGTAACAAGTGGTTAGTTCCGGCCAAACTATTTGGCGCCACCATCGCAAATAAGATGAAAGCGATGTTGCCAGTTTTCATAAACTATCATGAGATTAGAGTTATTTCAAACGCACAAACAAGATGCACCTTATTTTGTTTTTGTTGTGCTCGATTCCATCCATACAATGGCCATACTATTACTTTGATATTTTAAAGAGAGGTTTGATAACAATGTTGATTACATCGTAAAAATTGAAAAACCATCATAAAATAAAAGTTATTATGATTTAGTCGACGTAGTTCCATAGATAGGTAAGTTATTTTTAGGTTAAGAAGATTGATAAGTGCTGATATTTGATGTAATTAGTAAGTATTAACAATTTAATAAGGCGTTAGATTTGTTTAAGGACTTTATCATTGTTTTCTTATAGCCTTAACGAAGTATAATTTCATGTTGAATCGATTTTCAATTCTTTTTTAATATACTTATTTGTAACAAAACATGTCTGGCCCAGGTAAAATTAAGTATCCTTGTTTAGCTCCTAATTGTTTAAATAAGTATTATTCTAAAATTCAGCAGGCTGGTTATTCAAATAAAACCTTTTTTCATTTTCCTTCCGATATTAAAATTCGCGAGAACTGGTTTAAAAATTTAAATTTATATTTGTGGAGATCATTTTTTGTCAGATTCTTTTAGTAAAACTGCTTCAAAACGTAAACGACTAATTGCAAATTCTGTACCAATTTTATTAGATAATATATAGTACATCCAATTCAAGTATACCCAACTATTCTCAACCCGAGAGTAAGATTTTGGAAAATGTTGAGGCTGAAGCACATACACAGCAGGATAAGATATATTTGCTTATCCCCAAGGAAAAAAAATTATTTGCAAACGTAAACTTAGTATTTAGTGATAAACAATTTAAACAACCCTCTGTTAAAAATAAAAAGTAATTTTCAAACTCAAATTTGGTAGATCAATTAGAACAGATTAGTTAAAATATAATTCAAATCAACTATTGGCACTATGAAAAATAAACTGAAAGTTTTTAGACAAATTAAAAATAACTTTTACTCCTATAAGAATGGGCAACATTTTGATAAGAAAAATTGTTCAATAAGATGTAAGTATATGTATACACTTTTTTGTTTTTATAGGAAACGCCTGACACCTGCATTGAAATTTGTTTCAGTTTTCCAAGAATGAGAGGAGAATACTATTAATTTCACATACAGTTATTGTTATTTATAAATGTTATGTATGTAATAAATGTTTGAATGAACCTTACTTTCATTAAATAATTTTAATTTTAATATAAAATTTTTTATTTATATTTTTTAAAGTTTCATAACTTAAAAAACTAATATTTATGTTAAATACAGTATTTTAATGTAAATATTAGTTTTTTAAAGTAATGAATGCCAAAAAATGTAAATAAATAATAGAGGGCATTTGAATGATCTGCGGTTAGGCACTCTTTTTTTTCATTTTCTTCTTTTATATTGCCTGTAACTGTCAAGTTAATCAGCCAATTGTGTAGCGTGTGATGGTGGCGCCAAATAGTATGGTCGGAACTAACCACTTGTTACCAGTGCCGTGCATTTAAACGGTTTATCTTTTAATATTAATTTATCTATGTAAGTGACATTAGCATTTTTTTAATATAGTTTTATCATCGTCATCTAGCGCTCTCTTGCTGCTGCGTCTGCAGTATGTCCTTCCATCTGTAAGGCAAGGCAGATAGTGTTACCCTACCAAGAGTTAACAATGTCTTATTTGTTATTAATTTTGCCCGAAGATGGCCTTAATGGACCGAAACTAATTACAACTATTTGTATAAAAATAAACTTTATGTGGTATCTATTTTGAGAATAAATAATTCGTTAAAAAACTGACCACATTCGAGAATATGGATAATTAATATTTCTCTAAAATATTTATTTGTAATAACTTTGATTACTTACAATTTCAGTCCACAATAGCGGTAGTACCATATTATCGAATCTTTCACAGTTTGCAATGGATTTTATACTTCCCAAATCCATGTTAATTTGATATCTCACAGCTAATTCGATAGGAAGACCAGATTCCTGAAAAACAGACAGCAAATGATATTAAAATAAATAATAAACAAAAAACATTAGAAAGATAAAAAAGTAATTTTTTAAAAAATAAAAAAAAATTTGACGTGGAAGTTGACAAAAATTAAAGTTGTAAATTAAACTAACTGTTAACAAAACGGTATATTAAAAACTGCAGAATAATGGTAGAAATATTAAAGATATTATATTGTAAAAAAAATAATCACAGAATAGAATTATGAATAAAAGAAACCATTCCTCCAAACAAGACAAAATATTACTATGGAATTTAAAAAAATTCGGTGGCTATCTTGGATATTACTTTAACTTCGTTAGATATGAACATTTTTTGCACAAGAAAGTCTTTCATAACACATACTCGTCTTCTAAAATAAACCATGATAATGTCGTAAAGTCCTGATTCCAAACAAAATAAAGCACACATGGTAATGGCTGTCAAATTATCAAAAATATGTTTGGAGACGAAAGAGTTAAAGAGAAGTAGTTAAATTTGTGAACCCGTTTTTTATACTTTATTTAGGTTAATGTTTTGAAACAAATTAGTTAATGGGTCCGTTTACGTTATCCATAACGTACATGTTAAGCCAAGTTTTAACAGTAACGAGGCAAGTTCGTAGGATGGAAAACTTTTTCCAACACATTACTGGTATTTTCCGCCTTTTATGTTCTAATTTAACAGTTTTCCATCATACGAACTTGCCTCGTTACTGATAAAAATCGATCTGACATGTACGTTACGGATAACATAAACGTTCAATCATAGGACCCATTGGGTCGAATGATTGAACGTTTACGTTATCCGTAACGTACATGTTAGGCCGAGTTTTAACAGTAAGAAGGCAAGTTCGTACGATGGAAAACTTTTTCCAACACATTACTGTTATTTTACGCCTGTTATGTTTTAATTTAACAGGTTTCCATCATACGAACTTGCCTCGTTATTTTTAAAATTCGGTCTAACGTACATGTTAGGTGGAGTTTTAACAGTAATAAGGCAAGTTCGTATGATGGAAAACTGTTAAATTAGATCATAACAGGCGCAAAATAACAGTAATGTGTTAAAAAAAAGTTTTCCATCATACGAACTTGCCTTGTTACTGTTAAAATTTGGCCTAACATGTACGTTAAGGATAACGTAAAAGTTCAATCATAGGACCCATCTACTAATTTTTAACGTACTGACTACCACGATGGAAAACTATGATCTCTCATAAACCGTATGTACAAAGCATTTTTAAATACGTATAAATCCTTAAAAAAAAGAAACATGAATTTAGAGAAAAAGTAGACTTGAAGGATGGCGTGATTTTTCAATTACATTTCGAATAGTAAAAATTCAAAGAAATGAGGTTATGTTTCCTCTAATCATTAACAAACTAAATATTCGTTAAAATTATAGATGCTCCGTGAATTATTGCGTCTTATAAACTTACCGGTTGAATCATAAAGAAAGACTTGTGCTTCGTAGAATCCGGTTTGACACCGATCACTTTAGACGAAACGATTTTTTCTGCTTCAAAAAAATGCGGGTAACTTAAAGCTATTGGAAAACCATAATAGCAACCACGCACGTCCAACAGACCTTTTGGTTTGCACTTAGTACCTTCCTTGCAAAAGCATTTGTTGTGCTCGTTTACTTTACCATTATCGTCTGCTTCTGGATCGAAATTGTAAACGTAGGCTTTTAAACCGTTAGCTACGGTTTCGTTAACTTTTATCTGAAAAAAAAAAAAATAATCGGTATTATAGACTTTCTAACCAATAAGTTAAAGAAAACCATAAAAAAAACAAGAAACAATGAACTGATTATACTAAAAGTGAAAAGCAGATAGATTAAGATATTGATTTTAAATTAATTGTTTAACATACTATTTAAGCATTGGGGTTAGGTTAGGTGGAAAACGAACGTAATGATCTCATCACCTTTCACTGCGACCCAGATGAATCTATTATGGCTCATGTCTAATTTATAGTTCATCGTACAAGCCACACCTTCTCATAAAGGCCATTTTTAACCAGAGTAAGACTTGTTTAAAGTTAGTGGAATCCAGTTGGATGAATCCTAAGATCTAGAACCTAGTTATTTTCAAATATGTAGGTACATAGAATATTCTCTATAGATTCGTCTTTAACGCTGAAGGATTAACGTTTGTTTTAGACCCATCCTTCTCAAGTGGTTACCTAGACGACAATGTACTATCATCAGTTTTATAAGAATAGACAGATAGTTCCTAAATCTGAGAAAGGGTTAAGTACTAGCGCATTCAAGGGGGACAACTTCATTTTATGAGTATTACACCATCTGTTTCAAATAATAATAGTAGCACTAGTGATAGATTATTTAAATTTTAAAACTATATATTGTATTTAAAATTTAAAAAATGAATCCAGATACTCTCGATTCTAGGAAGCTCATCTGGTTTACCCATGAGTCTAGAACAGATGAGGGTACTGGAACCCCGCATTAGTAGTATGTATCCAAAGTTAAAACTCTACAATTACCAAGGAAAGTGCGTCATGGTTTTTTAGTCGAAAGTGCACTGGTAGCTGCAATAGTGCGCTACGCCTTTCAGGTTTAATTTACGACCCTATAATGTTCTTTTACTTTTTATGACGAAGGAATCAGTTTAGATAAAATAGCGGGACATTTAAAAGTTCGTAAGCTTGTTTGAAGAAGAATAAGTTCGGGCAACCCTTATACAGTACTATAGAAAATGACATTGCACAATAACATGATAAATTCTAGTGATAAAAGTTAGTGAAAATGTACTATTTGAACCATTAATATGTACTTTGATATATACTTACTAGTTTTTTAGCTCTGCACATGCTCTTTCTGAAGAACAATAAAGTATCATTGGGTTGTATGTATCCTTGAAATTTTGTTCCATCAGAAGCACCGGTGATGTCTCCGCAAGGACTATCCCATTGGGGTATTTTTGTTGATCCTCTGTATTTTTCTATGAGACCAATATTGTTCACGCCAAGTTTTTGACCATTGTATACTGTTTCGTAGTCTCCTTCAAAATCGTACATCTGCAGAACAAAATTATATAAATATGTTATAGAAAATATTTTAATTTTACTCAAAATTAATAATTTTTTATATTAAAATAAAACTTTGTGTCATATTTTTAAGAAAATGTAAAACTATTTCAGTATTTCGCTTTAGATTTATTTATCCAATATATAATTGGTTTTTAAAATTGATTTTTTTTTATAAAAATACACAATATATACTTAGTATTCGGAAGGACTCAAAAAGAAATAGTAAAGTAAAGAAATAGTCAACTTCTGTTTAAATTATTATTAGTTTTGAAATAAGCTAAAACTATTATAAACAATGAAAATAAAAAAGGTTTTCTTCTTTTTCAGTCCATCCAGGTAGATACATATAGATCATAAAACCTGTTCATTTTCCTTACCCTATCAATGAGCCCCAATTTTTCAAATGTTATCCAGTTTGGCATAAAATTGTTCCCCAGGGTCATAAGGGAACTGGAATATCCAAACATAAATTCTTTGGCTGTCATTTGAACAAGTGGTTCTGACTCCGTTTGTCTAATGACTATATTGAGTCCAACTCTTGTGAAGTACGATGAATCGGATACCACATCTGCTATACTCTAAAAAAAAATATATTTATATAAAAAACGATGATTTCATTAGATTGGCTTTTGAGAACATCCCTAAACCAGTAATTAATATGAGAGTCAAATTTCTAAATTATATACATTCTAAAGTTCACTGTACTTCAAGAAATGACCGTAGAACACGTGAAAAATATGCAATGCAAATGATTTTACCTTAATGAATAAAATATTTAAAAATAAATAAATATATTATAATTATTTTATTAAAATACTAACAAATCAACAATAATTTATTACATAAGTATTGACTACTAATCTAAATAATAGTGTAGTGCATGTTTCGAATATAAACAATTTTTCTTAGAATCATAGAATATGTTAACAAAATGAGATAAATTGAAATTGTCTAAAACAAGTATCAGTACTCATTGAAAATATTAACTAGAATGAAAATATATAATGCATGGAATATTATACTCTTCACAGTTTAACAGACCCCTTAACCCCCGTTTTTACTCAGATTTTTTTTGAACAATCAATAAGCTTCATCCCCTGATAAAGCTTGAGTTTTCCTCAAGATTTCAATTTGATATCAATTTTTATTTTCTGAGTTAGGAGTTTTTTATTAGTTCAAATTCTCTTATCTCCTCAATTTTATTTAGTCATTCCTATATAGAGCTTGATTTTTACTAAACATTTCATGTTGATATCACTTTTGGTTTTTAATTTCTATTATTTTTATTTCAACCCCTTTTGACCCCCATTTTATTCATATTTTTATATGAATAGGCTTTGTCCCCTTATACAACTTGTCAAACATTTCAAGTTGATAATATTGTTCGTTTTTGAGTTTTTTTTAATACTTTAACACCCCTCATGTTTATTCAATTTTTTTTTCATAATCAATAGCTTGATTTTTAATAAAAAAATTAAGGTTTCATGTTTTTGATTTTTTATTTTTTTATCTCAACTCTCTTAACCCCCCCCCCTTAAACTCCCCCCTTAAACTCCCCCCTTAAACCACCCCTTAAACCCCCTTAAACTCTCCATTTATAATCAGATTTTTTTAAACATCTAAGGTCTTCTTCCCCTTATAGAGATTGATTTTAAGTTTTTATTTTTGACTTATCATGCGGACAAAAAAAGTGACGTTGAGAAAATATTTGAGGAAACACTAAAAAAAATTCTTGAGAAAATATATAAAATATTAAATAACGTACTACTTAAAACATTATAGAAAATGGGTACTAGAGAAATTTATAGAGAGAATAGTAGACAAAATACTAAAAAATATACTAGAGAAAACTGTGCAAAATACTAGAAAAAATACTTGAGAAAATACATGAGAAAATTCTAGAGAAAATACATGAGAAAATTCTAGAGAAAATACTAGATATTAGAGAAAATACCACAAAAACTAGAGAAAATAAACATAAAACAAAATTTGGTATTTTCTAAATTTCAGGAAAACGTAATTTTTAATTAGGCAATTAATATTGGCTACATTACATTGTATATTCTGTGACGTAAATGTAAAGTACATAATTTATTAATTGCTTTTCGTGTTAAAGGAAGATTCTTATATGCATCACTAATATATTATGGTAATTGATCTAAGCCAATTAATTAATTAATTGTTAATGCTATGAAAGGTCAACTTTTCTGGAATTTTGTAAATTTATTCCTTTCTTTTCATGAAAATTGTCAACAAACAAGCGTCATTTGAGTATAAATTAAAAAAATTATCTGAGAATGACGTAAAAAATATTTTTCAAACGATCTATTATAATTTATTGATTTTTATATTATTTTAAAAATTAAAAAAAAACACGTATATTATTTGATTGTTTTTAAATTAAGAAATTTAGCCTTCAATATCTTTTCATAATATTGAAATTGATTTTTGTAAAAATAAACACATTAATTTTAATGAATTTTATCTTATTTTGTTCACTAATTAATCTTAATTAGGAAAAATAGAAAATATTAAAATAGTTGTAGGTAATTAATTTTTGGAAGGTTGTCTATTGTCGTGTACTTTTAGTTTGTTTAACAAGTAAACAAATTAGAACGCAGTGCTCGTTGAGAATGATAGCCTCTTGAGACATTATATAATTATTTTCCTAACAAGTGCGGAAACTCAGTAAGACGAACGACGTGAATGTATCAGACCCATAATTTCTATTTTGATCTATGTAATGTCCATATTATGAGTAAAATAAATTTGATTATTAAATTGTTAACATTGATTTTTATACCTAAATTATAGATATTTATTTTTGTCAAATTATTAAAATAATTTTATAGTAACTACATCATTTCTGTTAATCTACATATTTGATTAGATAATTCATATAGCATAAGCTTGGTAGCTCAATCCAAAATTATTAACCGGCTATATCGCGACCATGTCGTGACGCGGGTTCAATTACCGCTGGAAAAAATCTTTTTTTATTTTGAAAAAATATGAAAATTAAAAAATACGGCAATTACTGTTTATCTATTTTAATAACATTTTATTTATCATAATATAACTCCTACAGTTAATCTTCCCGCTATTTTTTTGGTACTATATTGATTACTGTTCAGAAAAAAAAGTAATTAAGTAGGTAATTATCTATAATAATAACAAAGTTCTTTTTCACGATTGTTCATCTCATTATTTTTGCAATTAAAAAAAAATTAACTGATGAAAAACCTTAGTGTATTCTAATATTTTTTGTAGCTAATGTTATTTTACCGTCATCATCCTAAGAAAGTGTGTGTAAATGGAATCATGTTTTCAATTTCGATGAAACATTATCCGTATATCACTTTAAAAATTATTTAATAAGGCATATAAAAAAACCAAATCTAGAACTGCATTTTTTTGATCACATTATTTTGAAGTCGTAGGAAAAATATTGTACATCATTTGTGTAAAAGTAATTTTTCACACTTGTAACGTAATATATTATTTCCTACAATGAGTTTTTGTATTACTCATCCGCACTGACTGCGGAAATAGTAGTTTGTGCAACGAGAGTGGATATGATGGTCATATCGCACGAAGAAGAAGTCTGAGCACGCCGCCTTCGGCTAAGTGCTCAATTGTTTGAATGTGATACGGACAATACACTTAAGTTATACAGAATGTTTTTTCTACGACTCACGAAAATCTACAAATTTTAAACATTATTTTTGGTTATTAAGATAAAATAACTAATTTAAAAAAATACGACTTTTACTAATTTATTAAATTAAATAAATTTAATTTAATTGATCCAAGATTTGAAAAATGAAAATGCTATTATTTTTTGATTTTACGCAAGAATAACTCATTTAAATGTATATTTAATCTCAATAACTAAAAAATATACTGACAATTAGTTTGACAGAATTGTCACTTATTCAAAATTGAACGTGATGGCATACTTTTTCATTTTGTAGTATGTGCGTCGAATAGCTAATATCCATGTGGATTTGGAAAACATTTTTTTCTACAACCACATGGATTTACCTTATCTACAAAACTAAAAAGTATGCTATTGAGTTTAACTGAACGAATATTCCATATCCATTCTAGATAGTGAGAACACTGCAAAAAATAAAATCTACCAATCACAGTTCATATTTTGGTCACCCGATTACTAATATTTTTAAAATTTTGAATAAGTGTCAATTCTGTTAAACTTATTTTATTTTATTTTATTTTTTAGTTATTGAGATTAAATATACATTAAAATGAGTTATTTTTGTGTAGATTTGATAAATAATATTTCTATTTTTATTTGGTCCACATTTAGAAATAAGTCTAAAATTTTAATCAAACAATATAAAACTAATTTAATTACGATTATTAAAACTAATTAAACTAAATATTTTTTTCATTTTAATTTTATTTTATAAATTAGTAAAAGTCATAAATTATTTGAAAATTAGTTCTTTTGCCTAAAAACACTAAATTATTTTTTAAATTTGTATATTTTCGTTAGTCGTAGAAAAAATATACTATAAAACTTAAGCGGATTGTCCATATCCACTCTTTCCGAACACTAATAATTGTAAAAATTGGGACTGCCATGAATTGAAATTTCTAAAATAGTAGTTTATACGAAAATTAATCGCCATCGTTTGTTTTGCAACTCTAATACTCGTATAATGAACAAATACTATAAATTAATAAATAAAACATTATTTGAAAAGGAAAATATTTAATTTTTTTTATTTAACTCTAAAATAGTGCAAAAGTAGGTTTTAGACCATTTCAAAATTTGATATACCTAAACCCATTCAACACAACTAAATTGTATGCAAAACTTTTTACAAAACCACTTTAAAACACACTTAATGGTTATACATAGTTAACAAAACTCTTCCGATATTTGGCTTGTCATTCTTTGTCCACACATTTACATATTTGCATTAAATCCGTTTCATAATTTGTTGAAATTCACAAATAAACAAATAAATACGAATAATCAATCGGTAACTCGGAAAGTAAAAGTCGAACAAATTAACTAAAAATGCAAAAATGACTATTAAAACGCTGTTGTGGTATTTCAATAAAAGACATGCCTTCGAATTATAAATCTTCTAAATATAACGTTTAATAGGGGCGAGGGGAGAACTAAAAATGGCAAACAGGAAAAAAATTAATTTAAATATTTTTTTGATGTAACATGCAGCAATTTGTTATTGCATAATAACATTGGGTAAGTTTATTTCAAACAGACAACATTTTAACTAAATAAAAAGTGTAGTATTATGCTAATACTCCACCTTGCAGGTAATAGAAAACATGTTTATAACATTGATTAAAAACAAAACATTTTTACTTATTGGCATTATTGTTTGTACAGTTGGACAAAAAATATTGTGTTCGTGACGAAATCAGTGTTACAAAAAAACTATCTTAAACATTTAAAAAATATGGAAGCAGATATAATTCACATCAGTTTCTGTAAAACATTAAAACGGACACTGATAAATCCTATTTAAAAGAAGACTACTAGACTAATAACAATAAATAAATTATTAATAATAATTGAAAT